TGAGTTACTCAGACTAAAGCACAAAGGGTTCAGCCTGCCCCCATATAGTTTTTAATTGAAAAAATAACATGAAAATAATATTTGAAGAGAAATCATTTAAAGATAACGCTTTTTCCTGCTGGTCCTCTTAATATTTGGCAGTACAGTATGACCTTTTTTATAAAGTTGTGACCAGTTAGATTATTATGAACATTTAATTATTCTCCTTTTGAGGAAAAACAAAAAGTGTCCATTTTAAATCCTCTCCCTTCATAATTTCAAATTACAAAGATATTTCAGTGTTGGCAGTACAATTCATTGATTTGAACTTGATTTTACACAATGCTGCAGGAGGATCATAACCTATTTTATGCTTCAGTAGAAACTCATTTGAGAGAATTCCCCATCTACCAGCAAAATATTCCCCCCAGAGAGAGTATTTTAAGCTACTTATAGAACTTATGAATTTTTTGACCAGATGTCACTTTTTCGAATTTAATTTTAGAGATTCTGCTTCCAAAACATTTCTATAGCTTTGAATTTTTGGAATGTGAAATATTTTTAATTCATTTCAGAGGAGATTAAGAATTTGAAATATATTTGGATTAAATTATAAAGAATATATATTTGAATAGTTTCTCTGTTTTTTCTTCATTTTTTTTGATGATAATCAGTCGTCACTGCAGGAAAACCTTCTGCTGGTGGCTGTTGTTTGAAGAGACAAACATGTTCTGGGTTTTTGATGAGCTGGTGCTAAAACCCCGGGAAGACAAAAAAAATCACAGGAAAACCCCCGGGGGTCGATCACCTCATCACCCATGTCTCGGAATACAAGGGATCGACCCACTCGTGAATGTGATGAATGGCGTCAATAACCCCAGAACACCCCGCAATTTTTTCCGTGGGGATACTCTCGAATTCCTTCCCAGATTTGCTGGCCATTCGAAAATTGGACAAAAGCCGTAGATAAAATATAATAACGCGCGCATCCAAAAAATTCCATTTTGGAAGAAATATAGCCAGCAGTTTTCTGGAGAACCCTGTTTTTTCCAAGAGTACAATTGGAGTTACTCTTTTTTGGGGGGGAATTGGCACATACTCAATGACCCCTGCCAGAAGCTCTTGCTCAGTCAGCTGATGAGATCCTCTTCACTCATAATTGGATGCTTTCCAGCTGTGTGACTTCTTTCAGCACCAGAGGAATACGTTGTGACAAGAAGAGGATGAACAAAAAGAATACAGCACAAATATCCACAAAAAAATACAAACAAATGCAGCAGTTCTGAATGGAATTTCTTTCTTCTTGTAATTTTGCAGAAATTGTTGAAGCAGTCAAGAGCCATGAAAAGCCCTTCTGGAGACCAGCAATCAGTGATGATACCTGCGATGAAGAAGTCATCAGGATGATGAAAAGCTGCTGGGCTGATGAGCCCCTGGAAAGACCAGATTTCCAGCAGCTCAAGGGCATCATTCGCAAGCTGAACAAGTGAGGTTTTCCAAATAATCCCCTCTGGCTTCAAACACTCTATCCCTCATTTAGGGTATTAACTTAACCCAAGGACAAAAGGAAACATATGATAAAGTAACAAAGAACACCGGCAATAATCAGCAAGTTTACAGCCAAGAACGTACTGTTTGTTCAAAGCGACACCTTGAATATACATTCCCGGTGCCTTTCAGAATGATTTATTGTGTAATTTGATGGCAAAGAAATAATACAATTAACAAGAAACACTAAAAACCCTATGCACATGTGAATGAAGCCAATTTTTTTAGAGAAAAAAAAACAGATGCGGATATAATATGCATAAACATAACAAAGGAATAAATAAGAGTAGTGATCCTCTCATCATAATGAAGGTTGTGTGAAGACAGCTTTCTAGTCAAAAGCATGGTTTGGAGATGGGGTGAAACCTTCACTGTATTTATATTCTCAGTGCATTTTCTTCACAACACCCCTCACATGTGTTATACTGTACATTTTTTTCAGAGAAAATGAGAGTGGGAATATTCTGGACAATCTGCTGTCCAGAATGGAACAGTATGCCAACAACTTGGAGGCCCTTGTTGAGGAGAGGACTGCTGACTACTTGGAGGAAAAGCGCAGATGTGAAGAACTGCTTTACCAGCTATTGCCCAAGTGAGTATGAGTGACTGACATAAAAGGGATCCCTGGGGGGATCAATACTCTGGACATGGCCTCGGCAGGTGGACAGGATTTTCCCACCATTGACGTCTGCTGTCTCATGTTGTATCTGCTTATGAGTCAAGACTGCACATGACATGCTTCCTCTTTCATCTGACATTTGGTGTCTGAAATTCAAATCAGGTCTCATGTAGGAAACCCCCAGAATTCCTTGTTCATGAAAAGCAGAATTCCTTACGGTGTTTATTCAATCAACTGCAGGAAGCTATAATACAGTTCAGCATTCCAAAAAGCATACAATTAAATTTCCTGTTCTACACTGGGGTTAGGTGTTGCAAAACTGTTGAATGTTCCCTGAAAATGTTCAAGCAATCAGTAAAACATACATAAGCATCACAAGAAGCTGAATTTACAATTAAAATGGTTGAGAAAGAGATTCAAAAGTCATTGCTCCCATTAATCAGCATGGAAATCAGGAGGTTATCTCCAAAAATTTAGGCTTCTTGCAAAATCAATTAACAGGAAGAAACTCTTTAAAAATAATGCAAGTTACTCAGTTAGTGATTAAATTTCACAAGTGAACCACAAGAAAAAAACACCTGGGTGCTGGATGACAATCATTTTTAACCCTGAAGGAAATTTGAGAAACTTTGATGAAGCCCCAGTTAACCTCCACCAGTAATACAAGAAAGTTGGAAAGAAACCTCAAGCAGGCAAGTGTTGCTGGTGCTGGTGCTGGTGCATCTGATGCCATCACCACCACCATCCCATTCCCCTTATAAGGAAAATGATAAAAAAAGAGAAATAAATTCTGTGTTTGCTGCTGCTGCTGCTGGTGTTGCTGGGAAATCCATCAGCTGCCATCTCACCCCAAAAACCCCCCCTTCTCCTGCATTTATTCTGCTTTGCTGATCACTCCAATTCCACAAGAGATTTTCCCCTTCTCTTCAAACTGGGTCTCTTGGGTGTGGTGAGGAGAAAGGGAGGGGAATTTCAGGGCCAGTTGGGGAAAGGGTCCTGGGCATTCAGGAATTCATGAGTTACCCAGAGTGCTTTGCCCCCTGAGCAGGGCATTTGTTGGATTATGCAAATCATTCCTGCTGGCTGAGGTGAAGGATTTTGCACTGGCCTTCATTTGCAAATGGAAGGCTTGTACTCCTTCCATTCCATTCCACCCAAATTCCTTTTGTCCAAATCACATTGCGGAAAGGCCCTTTTGATAAAAGCCATTGTAATGGAATGATATTAAATTGACAACAACAATAAGGTATTTGCTTCAAGTTGCAGAGAAACTTGACAATAATTGGAATTTACGCAAGTTTTTTTTTTGAGATCTTTCCTATAGTTGAAGATTGCCACAAAAAACCCACCATATACACTTTGTATATGGTATCAATTTTTATTTATTAATTTTTGACTCAAAACTGTTGGAATTTGTAAAAAAGTCGACATCAAAAGTGGCTAAAAAGTATTTCTTTTGGAAAATACTTTTGTGATGGAAATTCATTATTCTGTGCATCATGTGAGACAAATTCTAAATATATGCATTTGCAATTTCTTCAAGTTGCTCCACATATTGTGTCTTCCACACTTTTTTTTTTAATCAAAAATCTCCTTTTTATCAAATAAGGGTCTAAGAATAATAAAAAAAGGCTATATGGAAATATTTGCTCAGTAGGTTGAGGTTGAAAAGTCTGTGACATGGAGAGATCTAAGATAAATTTATGTTCCGGAACTTTGGTTATGAACCATTCTCATGAATAAAAAATGAGGTTTCTCATCTTTGGATAAATTGACTTAGCTTACTGTTCCTTGTAAATCCCATGAGCAAAAATGTTAAAGAATGTTTGACCAGCACTTGGATAATGTCAAAGAATTAGTCATAGACAGTCTAAATGCTTCATAGGGATCAGCTTTTCAAGATTTTCTATGGTTATTTAGTTCTTTTGTGAGGTAGATTGTACCACGTGAAATAAGAATAAAAGGGTGATGTCTGAGCATTCATATATTTTTTTCAGAAGGTTTACAAAAAAATGATGAGAAGAGGGCCCTTATTGAAGCAGGCTAATGTTACCCTTCTCTAAAAAAGACTCAGAAGAAAAGTTCAGGCCCGCACATGGGACCATTCCATTGACATAAACAAGCCCTCTTGCTGAAACTTCCCACCCACAAGGATTACCTTTTCATGGCCATCTGCTGAGAAAGTGCTGAGGATTGTGACCTTGATAGAAGAAAACACAGATCCCACCAAGGATACCCCTGGGGATCCCTGGAACACTGTTCCAGGGTGGATGTTCCAGGCAAATGGCTTTTTTCCCCCTTTTTTTGTATATGTTTCCCATTCCAGAAGGGCTTGAGCTGAGGGTCATTTTTCAAAAAATAACTTGTTTAATCAATGACATTCCTTTTATTGAACCTCTGCTGCTGTATTTTTAGACCATTTTAAAAATCAGGATATATGTTTTCAGTACAATAAGCCAATGATTTTTCTCTTTTCAAACACTGTCAAGAATATTTGAGAGTGGTTATTAAGAAGATTGTTATTAAAAAATACTTTGGCATCCAGGCAGAATCACTCAATGCAATTTCCACTAAGATTTTGGATAGTTTTTGACAACCCATTTCATGTGTTATAATGATCTTGAACATTGGCATCATTGTCTAAAAAATTGTCAAAACGAAGTATTTTTCCTTGAACAATTGCTGGCAGACCTTGGAGAAAATATTTACAGTTATGGTATGTTTTTAGACTGCCTTCAAAGTTATGCAATATAAAGATGTGACAAATTTATCTTTTTCAAGTAGATTGATTCAGTTCAGTAAATTGATTTTTTGCTTGAGTCCAAGTCAATTTGGGTGAACAAGAAGTTGTCATGGGGGAATATATATGATTGTAAATTTGAAATACTTCCATTTGCATTAGTTTCAGCAACAATGCTTTGATAACATGCATGAAGCATCTATTTTTTTATATTTTCTGAGAACTAGCAGAAAATACTATTGACGAGGAATATTGAGAAAAACATGTACATTTGACTTTTTTGAGGTGATGCGGAAAGCGGAAAGTACCTTTGTGTCAATAGTGATTCCTGATGGTGGTGGTTCCTAAAGGAGCCATTCACTCCTCTTCCCAATCAATTCTCGCTTTGATCCGAAATGGACTTTGATGTGAAGGACGCACGTTGGGATCAAAAGTTTCCACATCAGAATATTATTGGAGGCAAACCTTCTTTTCCAGAAGAGGCTTTTCCTTCTGAGGATATTGGGATCCCAGAATTCCTTGAATTTCTCTCCAAAAAGAAAATATAAGGAAAAAAGAAGTAGCTAAGAACTACTGTGTATTTCTACATCAGGAAAGGGTCTTACAGTTGAAAGTTCCTCATCATACAGCATTCAATGAGATTCCTTTTCTAAAAAAAAATTGCAGTAATATGCACTGGGGTATTTTTTCATTTAATTTTTAATTTAAAAATATGCAATAATATACCTTCTATCTGCATTAAGGAAAAAAAACAAGAAGTAAAGAAATATATGCATTCACAAGGAGAAGGTCTTAGTTCAAAGTTGCTCATCACACAGCATTCAAAGAAGTTTTTCTCTAGAGAATGCAGGACTATATATGCTAATAATGAGGTTCTCCTTTTATATTTCATTTTCTGAATTCAAAAATTGAAAAAATTAAATTAAGAATTGAGTAAGGGTATTTATCTTCAAAGGAGGAAAAGCAAGTGAAGAAACATGTGAAGCTTTTGGTGGAAAGTTCCAGCATTCAATGAATTTCCTAGTTTAGAAAATGCTATATGCTGACATATTTTTTATTCAGCAATTTGAAAAAAAAAAAAGATTTCTCTTCAATCAGGAAAATAAAAATAAAGAAATACAGGTGTACAGGAGAAGCTTTTATTTTAAAGTTCCTCATCACACAGAATTCAATGTCTAGAATATGCAGGACTATATGTGTATACTGAGGTTCTTTTTATTCTCAAATAAAAATAATTGAAAATGAGGAAGATATGAAGTGAAGATATTTGTTTACAGGAGAAGGTCTTGGGTGAAAGTCCCTCATCACACACAGAATTCAATGAGTTTCCTTCTCTGGAAACTGCTGGACTATGTACTGGGATTCCTTTTTTCTTTTTCTTTTTTTTTAAATGTAATAATCTGTAACAGTTCCGCAGGAAGTTCTTTGAGGAAATGCTTCCGAGCACGGGCGCAATTATCCACGAGGAAATCTTTGTTGCGTGAAAAGAAAAAGATGCGCTTCTCTTTAGAGAAAGAGTCCGTCTTTATATTGTGAAGAGTCTCGGGATGATGGATGACGATGAGGGGGATCCTGGGGGATCCTTGTCTCTATTTTTTTTTACAGGTCAGTGGCGAGTCAGCTGATTGCAGGAAAATCAGTGGTTGCCGAGAGCTACGACAGTGTGACCATTTACTTCTCAGACATCGTGGGATTCACATCATTGTCTGCTGAAAGCACTGCAATGCAGGTCGGTTTCTTTCCAGAATGTTCTAGTTTTTTAGATTAATTTTGTTTGTTTGTGGAAATGTGGTGGTACTGCATCCATCAGGAGAAAGCTCGTGACTGATGCTTCCGAGCTGGTTTTTCTCAGCTGTGCCAAGAAAAGTCCATCGTCTTGTCAGACTTGGCCAGCTTCCCGAGATTTTCTAGGTGTAATCAAGGCAAATGAAATCCTTTTTGTTCAAATACAGTCAACCCCCGTCTAACGGACTTGATTTGTGCAATGGACGAGTCTGTTAGACGAAAAGTCCTTTACACGAATTCAATTGCATAAAAATTGAAAATTTCAATTTTCAACACTAATTTTAAACCAAAAGAAGTCTGTTTGGTGGATTTTGTCTGTTGGGCGGGAGGAAAAACTGCTTGCAGAGCTAGTCTGTTCGGCAAAAATCCCTTACACGGGAGGTCTGTTAGGCGCGGGGCCACTGTACAGTGGAAACATTTTTACAATTAATTTTTTCATCAGTTCCACGTGCTCAAATAATCGCATCATAACACTTTTTATAGGGTATGAAATTACTGTAATACGTTGTCACAAATTTTTACTTTAGGAATTTCCCTCAATGCTTTGAAAATCTTGTCAACAATAATAGTAAGGGTTGTTTAGAAATAATAGATTTACAAGGATCAGCAAAGACGCTAATCCTGGAGGAATCTTATGGGACCAGAGTTGACCTTGAGTTCCCACAATCTTCCTCTCAAAATTTGTTTTGTCCTTCAACATCTATTTTCAAATCCTTGAGCATCAAGGACCTTTTTCTACATTCTTCTCTTCATTGAATTAGTTTTCCTGTTTGCTAAAAACTAGCTGAAGAATCAATTGAGTCTTGATCTTCAAATTGTGCAGACCTTGCGAGAGTCCGGTTTTTTTGGTTGTGTTTTCTCATCACCTTTGAAGTTGTAATCATTTTTTTAATCTCTTGTCTTGTGAGTTCATTTCCTCAAACAATGAGAAAATGTATCATTTTATACTAGGACTTCTTAGTCCCGGCCGCAGCCCGGCTGATCAAGCGGTTTTCTTTTCAAATTTTCTGTGAAATTATTGTAAGTTTGATTATTTAAAGCCAAATTGCTGATGTATTGGTCTTCAAATTTTCAATCAAAAGGAATTTAGCAATTGTTCCTTTCTTGTCAAGAATATATTTCTGACAAATCTTGCAAATTTAGGGATGTTAAATTTCAAGGTTACTTTTTGAACAGCCTTTAATTCTATAATTTCTGGGATTTCTTTCAAACCGCTGGAAAGGGTTTTACAGTGGATTTGGAAATTCAGCAGACCCCCAATAAGTGAAGAGAAATCCAGGAAGATTTTCTTTCCAGATCTTCTTCAGCGGATTTCTCCCATGCGAGTGTTGAATTTTTGAAGGATCTGCAGGCTTTCATCGAGTGCAGAAAATTTGACGTGCATATTATATATAAATTTGCAGACGAGTACTGCTTCCATCTCATTTTTTTCTCCCAAGGGAAAGTAATGTTTGTACTGGAGATAAATGATTGATCTTCTTTCTTGAGTGCTGGAGAGCTTTTTGTTTTTTCTCAATGAATGCAATGTTTTTTTTTTCCTCTGAAGATGATGTTTGTGCTGGTGTGACCCAAAAGGGATCTTCATGAAAGAAGCTGGTGAAATCCGTCAATAGAGATCAATATTGGTCGATTTTGATGCGTAGTATATTGTATCAATTTATTTGAGCAACTGAAAGGCCTCAAAAAGTGTAGTCTTTCTATAGTATTATTTGGATTTATACCTGGGCAATTTCTAAATTTAATCAGGTGAAGCCATGATTGAAGAATATCAAATTTTGGACACCAACTTTGTATTGAGAGAAGCTTGAGAAATCTGTGGGTGATAGAAATAATTTGTTCTCATTTCAGGTGGTTGATCTCCTGAATGACCTGTACACCTGCTTTGACTCCATAATTGAAAACTTTGACGTGTACAAGGTGAGTCAAAAGGGCAGAAATTTAAAAATTTCTGTGGCAATTGAGCGCGTTGTTAATTGTTGTGTTCATTTATTCCTTAATGTTTGAATATGTTATTATTTTTCTCAGGTGGAGACAATTGGAGATGCGTATATGGTGGTTTCAGGGTTGCCAATGAGAAATGGAATCAACCATGCCAGAGAGATTGCAAGAATGTCATTGGCACTCAGGGAAGCAGTATTAAAGTTTTCTATCAGACATCGGCCAAATGACCAGATCAAACTCAGAATTGGCTTACACACTGGTAAAAATCATCTTTCTTGAATTTATAGCAGTTTTCAAAATGTATTTTGCATATTTAAAGTTTTTCATAAATTTAAATCTGTATGAATTTGACAGCACTTTTTTTTATAATGTTGGATCAATTTTTCCCATAGACTTCAATGGAGTTATATTTAATTTGTTCTCCTATACTGTTGATCAAATATTAAGAAAAGCACTAAAAACTGAAACAAAGGATTTTTCTCTCAACTCCAAGATAAAGAAAAAAACATTACAGAATGATACACATGAAATGTGGTTTTTTGGCATGAAAATGACCCCAAAAAGTATTAAGTCTTCCCATTCTGCGTTTGGATGATGCAAACGATTCAGAAAAAAATAAAAAAATTATCCAGTTTGGAATTATTAAATTATTGTGAATTCATATGATGATATAAAAAACTCAATTTGTTAAAGACATACCAAAACTTTGAAGCGAAAAACAATTTTTAAATGTGTTTATTGCCTGTATGTTGAGCAGATTTTTAGAGTTACCAAGTGTTGCTGGGTTGAAGTTTCCACATGCTTGGTGCCCAACTGCACTTTGCTGAGATCAGTATAATTTTTTGTTCCTTATTGCATTCATGAAATCTTTTTTTTTTTAATAAAGGTCCAGTTTGTGCTGGAGTTGTGGGACTGAAAATGCCACGTTATTGTTTGTTTGGCGACACTGTCAACACCACTTCAAGAATGGAGTCTAATGGTCTCCGTAAGTTACCCTTGGTCATTGATCATCATGATCAATCAATGATTCACGAGAGATCCTTTTCACTATTACAGCTCTGAGGATCCATGTAAGTGCTGCCACCAAAGAAGCATTGGATCACTTTGGAACCTTCTTGCTTGAGTGCAGAGGAGAGGTTGAAATGAAGGTAACATGACAGGCGACACCTGGTGGCATTTTTTTGTATCAATGAAGTCGGATTTCATTCTGGGTCCCCCTATCATGGCAAAACTTTTAATCCATTCTTCAAAAATTGTTTGCATTAAAACTTTATTTCACTTGATTGATTGAAAATCACTTTCTATATAATTTGTTCCAAAACTTATAATTTGGATATAAACTGAAACCTGTGTATTTCAGCAAGTTGTTATGTAAACAATTGGATTCATCTTGCCAATGTCTGCATCTAGAATTTTGAAGATGTAATAATTTTTGGAGAAAGAACCTTATTTTTCCCATTTACAATTTTGGTCATGAATGTCAATTAGATCAACTTCAGAACTTAATTGAACCTGGAAACTTACTGAAGTGCATCCATTCTTGTCTCAACATTTTGCCACATGAGCCCTTCATGTGAGTCACTTTTCCCACCAAGAAGTTTGTCATGCACAGTATTTTTGTGTTTGGCCTTTCAATAAGTGTTTTAGTACTATAACACCCACTTAATATACAGTACAAAAACTTAATTCCTGGTTTGATGGTGTTTGTTTCAAGGGTAAGGGAAAGCAAGTCACTTATTGGCTGAATGGAGAGAAAAACGCCCCCAAGACCCTGGACTTCCAGTTCACCCCAACCCCTCAGCCCAATGGAAATGCTGCAGTTGATGAAGGTGGTGCCAGTGGCGCCACCAACCGGCTGCAATTTGAAGACATTCAAACAGGTCCCAGCACCAAGTTGCCCCAGGGCAAAAGCACTGTGGTGACTTATGAGCCTGGGACAGGCACTTCACCCACCTCCAAGCTGCTGAGTCCAGTGTCGGATGGGAACCATGCAGGGGCGACACCTGTGGCAAATCCAGGCACAGGCAAGGGCATTCTCAAGGCTAACAACTCCATTCCTGCTTGAAAACAGAAACAAATTTATTCCTTTCGAGATTAAAAAAGTTACCTCTGAAACCTGGACGATTAAAAGATGAGTGAGTGCTGAAGAGAGAATCAATTGTTGACCTGTGCAACATATACTTACTAAATCCTTTCATAAATAACTAACACTACAGCTTTTTTTTTTCAATTGGTCTACTCACCTAGCAAACGACACACTCCTTTGGCTACTCCGAAACTCCTTTTTGCGTGCTTTTTTAAATGTTCCCTTTTGTCACTTTCTAATACTGTAGCTGCTTTTCACGAGAGAGAAGAAAAAAAAAGAGGAATGTTGATGTCCCTGATTTTGACATTTACTTGCCTATAGTATACTTGTGCTCAATATTAAATCAGCGCATGATTTCCAAGAAGAACCCTTTCCAGTGCCAAAAATCCAAGGACGATTGAAAAGATGTTTTCAGTTCCACTGGAATCTCAAAAACTGTCAAAACCTTCTGGGGCGAGAAAGGATTTTCTTTCAAAATAAAAAAACGAGACCATTTGATAAAATCATGTCCCCTTTTATGATGCTGAGGTTTTAGAGAAATGAGAAACTGGGAAAGTTTGAATGTTGTTTTTCCTTTGTTCATTTCTTATACTGTTGGTGGAAGGAAAATTTGTGTGTGGAAAAATATAAGAGGCTTCTTTACAAAATTTCATCTCTGGAATACATTTAAAACAAAAAATATAAATTCATAAAAAGGAATAAAAACATAATATTATTGCTTTGAACTGCCAGTTTTTCCCCCGACAGGAGAGACATCACAAGGATCTTTTGGAGGCTGGGGTCTGCAAGGGTTGGTCATGTTTTGAATGAGTTCAGTGTTGTCAACTGGACACCTGAAAAGAAAAGCAGAAGTATTCAGTATAGTCACGTTTCCAATTGAACTTCAATCAAATGTTTTGTTCATATTTAAGGTTATTTTTTGTTTGGATGGCAAATAGTTTCATGGCATTTTTATTTTTGACATGCTCACCAGTTTACAAGAAACATATTATGAACAAGATAAAACATTAACATGATTCTTTAAATTTTGGCCTTAATAATTCATTTTTTGCTTTTTGTGGCACAAGGACAATTTCAGCTAAGATTTGCAAAAAATTTAGAAGGAGAAAAGATTATCTTTTTGTATATGAATGATTTAGGAAAGTATTTATTGATTGTGATGTCGAAAAAAAAAAGTTAACCAGATGAGTGGATCGTTTGCTGTGTGAGGAAACCGATGAGGCTTTGAGGAAAAACGCACGAAAAAAGAATGTTCCCTTTTGTCACTTTCTAATACTGTAGCTGCTTTTCATGAGAGAGAAGAAAAAATAAGAGGAATGTTGATGTCCCTGATTTTGCCATTTACTATAGTATACTTGTGCTCAATATTAAATCAGCGCATGATTTCCAAGAAGAACCCTTTCCAGTGCCAAAAATCCAAGGACGATTGAAAAGATGTTTTCAGTTCCACTGGAATCTCAAAACTGTCAAAACCTTCTGGGGCGAGAAAGGATTTTCTTTCAAAATATAAAAAACGAGACCATTTGATAAAATCATGTCCCCTTTTATGATGCTGAGGTTTTAGAGAAATGAGAAACTGGGAAAGTTTGAATGTTGTTTTTCCTTTGTTCATTTCTTATACTGTTGGTGGAAGGAAAATTTGTGTGTGGAAAAATATAAGAGGCTTCTTTACAAAATTTTATCTCTGGAATACATTTAAAACAAAAAATATAAATTCATAAAAAGGAATAAAAACATAATATTATTGCTTTGAACTGCCAGTTTTTCCCCCAACAGGAGAGACATCGCAAGGGTCTTTTGGAGGCTGGGGTCTGCAAGGGTTGGTCATGTTTTGAATGAGTTCAGTGTTGTCAACTGGACACCTGAAAAGAAAAGCAGAAGTATTCAGTATAGTCACGTTTCCAGTAACAATTGAACTGCAATCAAATGTGTTGTTCATATTCAAGGTTATTTTTTGTTTGGATGGCAAATAGTTTCATATCATTTTTATTCTTTGACATGCTCAACAGTTTACAAGAAACATATTACCTTGTTCTATTTTGTAATTGTACTAAGAAATTTAAAACCGGAATTATTAAGTAAAAAACGAAAAACACCGTGTTCCTGTTAAAGTCGATTCTAAACGTTTTTTAAATCTTCCTCTTTTCTAATAGAACAGTTTTTTCCCCTATGTATGTAGAGTCCTTTGCTTCATTTCTGTTTCATTTTTTATCATCTTCAGGCTTTTTTACTCTGTGTCTCCTGTCTTTGATAATTTTAAGTGCATTTGTTGTTGAACGCATTACAGAAACCCAAAAATGCCATAATAAGTACTCTCACCATAATAAGTAGTCACAACTTGGCACAAGTTCCCCACCAATGCTCATGGTGCCCTTGTCAAAGTCCACAACTTCAGGCATACCACAGTCTGCAGTTTCTGATGCGTTAAAGTCTGAGTCAGGTCGACGATGTTCTGTATGATTCCGTATATCTGGTTTTCGTCGTACACCTCTGTACCGGTTTTCGTGGGACCGACTTTTACCACAACTTTACCGTGGATCAACTGGGTAAGCCATACTGAGTCCCATAGCTACTGATCTAATGTGAGTTGGAAAGGCCTGCAAAAATGTTTTACAACCATTTGTCATTAAACAATTAATTCCTACATGAATTTTAACAATGTCTAAACCTCAGCTGTGTAAAGGTGTGCAGTTTGGATTCCTGCTGTTACTAGTCCTCTTGCTGCAAACAGAGTCACCACCAAGTAGATTACACTGGAAAGTGATGATCAAATACTTCATTTATGGATGACTACCAAAATGAATCCTTCACTTAATAAATAAAGAAATCTATGATTACAAAACCATATAGTCAGGAATGAGGAGTTGAAAACAGAACTACACGTCTCCCAAAATAAATTACCATATTTACTCAAGTACCACGTGCACCTTTTTCGGGTTTAAAGTCTTCTTTGTTTCCCCACGCGAAGTATTCGTCCATGTTTTAAAAGTTTTGCAAAAAACTTCAATACACACGTAATATATATTAATATTACCTCTTTAAACCTTGTTTATATTCTTCTAAACATTTTTGCATTGAAAAAGTTGAAAATTGATTAGATTTTTGTTCAATTCATGCCTAAAGTCAAATTTTTTGTTTTTATTTTTGAAATTGTATGGTTTTAGATTCACTAAAATTGGGGTGCGCGTCTTACTCAGGGATAAGATTTTTGCAAAATTTTCAACTGAAAAACCCCTGTGCACGCCTTACTTGCGGGCACGTGGTACTTGAGTAAATACGGTAGTTCACATTAAAAATTTTAAAATACCACATTTCAAATGAATTTGACAAAATGCATCTCAAAGATGACCCAATAAAGTTTAAAATGGTGTAAAAGAAATTATTAGCAAATTAAAATTTTAGTTTCAGGCCTGAAGACTTGCTTGCAGAAGCACCAACACTGCATTCCAATGAAGCCAGAAAAGAAGGCCAAAGTCAGAGCAAGGGTCCACTTCCGGCCCCACCTGAGGTGTTTTTTGTCGCGTTTTTTATAGGGACGTTATATACTTTAGTCTAATATAGAAGTACTACACTGTTATTTACAGTTCAAGTTTTTACCGTAGTTTGGATTTTCGAGTCGGTTACTTCTTTTGTGTAGTTCATTGTAATCAGTGTAAGTAAAGTGCCTGCATGCTGATCCACAGGACATTTCAGTCCAAAACTTGCCCAAGTTTTGTTTCCTGAAATTGGATCAAGAAATACATCAAAATCAATCAACCAGCCGATAATTTTCCTGCATGAGACTTTGAATCCAATTACCAGGGTATTATCTATTGACCAAACACATCCAGAGTTGTACAGAAGTTAATTGATTTTGAATTATGACAATTTCTTCTATAGAAAAGGAAATAATGGATGTCTTTTATCAAAAACATAATTTCAACAGAAAAAGGGGTCCTTAAACCAGATCTGTATTGAAACAAAAATTTGCTTTCACAAAATAATATAGCCAATAGTCCAACTCTTGAAACAACAAAGCCTTCATCATAAATTTAATGATAAAAGAAAATGCTCATTCAAGTCATTACCACAATAAAATGAGAAACAACTTGAACTCACTCAGAACAAACATCTCCATCCACTCTGAATATTTCAGAAGTCATCAGCATGGTTCCATAGTGAGCAAATGTAGCAGCAAACCTGACAGTGTATTTTGACAGTCTTGAAACCAATTATTTTTTTTTTTAAATGTGATAAATATGGTTTACTTCTTGTTTCTATCACACCAGGTGGCGTAGTGTCCGGACTTTTCCGGTGTTTTCAACGGAGAGACTCTACCAGAAAGACACAGGTTTTCCTTTTAAGGACCGTAGTTCAGTTGCATGCAGTTGGCTTTTGCAATATCCTCCAAGACAATCAGGGCTGCATCTTTGCTGCAAGTGGCCAAATACCTTGGACTCTCTTTCACCAACTTGAAACACAGAGAAAACCCATCAAAATTCAGTCAGTTTAAAAACAGTGTCTGACATGGTTCAACTATACTCACTCCAATAGTCAAGGCAAACAGAAAAGGACCCAGTGAAGTATAAAACACTAGGTTTCTCCAATGTAATGGTACAGAGAAGATCCCAATACAAATCTCCACCAAACATCCTAGGACCCAAAAACCCTAAAAGAGGAAATAAAAATGGTAAAATTGCACTCTTATGAAGGATGTGAATTCAAGACTATTCACCTGAAGAATGATGACGCATTGTCCTCTGAGGGATTTTGGCATCTCCTCTGCATAAAGTGTTATTCTGCAAACAAATAATTATATGCCTTCCAAATATCACCACAGCAGTATTAAAATTTGAACATCAGGAAGCAATCCAAGACTCTTGAAATTTCTCATCATGAGCAAGGAGAGAATTTTTCTATTAAACTGATATGATACAAGCCAAAGTCAAGACAATATGGCTTTTGTCATTAGCTCAGTACATTTTCATTTAAAAGCAAAAAGTGGGCTTTCAAGATGCAATTTTTGCATAAAGTTGAACAAAAAAAATTTTGCTGAAGACCCAGTACAACACATAAAAACCAGTTTTAAAAAAAATATATCTGTAATCATAAAGGATGAAATGGCTGGTGGCCTTGTTAGGAAAATTAAACACAGGAAAAAAGAATAACACTGAGTATTGTTGATGATAGAACAAAGCTTTTTTGGAAAATTGATTGAAGCAAAGTGACTGATGAAGTAAGCATTCAAGCCACTTTTTCATGCATCAAACTTTGAGCCCTATATTTGGATATTCAAATAAGTCAATTTATTTTTTAGAGTTTGCCTGCTAATCTTTCAAATTGGTTAGGTTTTAGATTAAATGTTCCAGCTTGTAATAAAATGTTTGCATTGACCCAAAATGATATGAAAACTCACAATAACTCACACTTGAGGCATACAGCCCAAAGAAAAGCCAACCATCCACCTCAGGAACAGGATCCAAACATAGCTGGGTGTAAAGGTGCACAAGACACACTCATAAAACAAGAGCCAAGAAGCTGCCATCAAAGTCTGTGACACAAAAATAAATACAAAACAATTGAAATGGTGGGTTTTGAAGAACAAATGCAACCCTTCAATGACTCACTCTTCTCCTGCCAAACCTGTCAGCCATATACCCCCAGAAGAACCCACTGGAACCCATGCCAGCAAAGAGACTCTGCAATATGCATGAAATACCTTCCCTGATGTTTCATCATTACTCGGTTATTTGCAAATGGTTTGTTTTCTGTGAGTGATGACGGTTTTGTCGGACAAAGGTCCGTCGTTACACGGTCCGTGTGACGTTTCTACCCAAATCCTACCAGTGGTAGTGACAGTGGTACGGACGACGGTAGGTAGGGTCTCCAGCAACCAGGGTCAACAAAAGCTGGTATGAGCCAAATCCAATGTACTCCAGGGCATCATCAATTGTGAACCCAATTACTGGTGATCAATGTAAATTAGTGGATCTTGTGTAGATTAACCTCTTCTTTGGAATGATGCGGGGGGGGGAGGCATGGCACTAATTAATTAACCAAAAATAGTGTACCAAATATTATATAAATAAGGGTTTACAAGACTGCTGCTGGCACAAAACTGCATAAAGAAGTTTATCTCAAATAAAAAACTTTTATTTGATTATGAGGGATCATTCAAACATTTTATTTTGGGCAGCACCTTAAAATAGCACTTTTCAATCTTCTTAATCTTAGACCTGATTTGTGGAGCATGAGTTGACCTTTAATTTAGGCAACCTTGAAATTTAGAATCTCAACCAAAAAAGGTATCAAGATAAGAGAATAACCCCTGCATTGGAACATGTTTTTCAGGTACAGTACATGAGTCACTGTCACTAAGATGATTTTTTTTTTCTACATGATGATCATTTGGTACTGTATTAGTTTGATTAGGTACCTTGCTTGATCATAAAATATGCCACTGAGGCACATGAATTCGTCATACTTTTGTAAACAACTGTTTCTTCTTTTTTTAATTAATATTTCATTGAAAATATAATTCCCTATTATAACTGAATACTTTCTACAGTTATTGTGATGTAACCGAAGTGACAACCATGCTTTTTTTTACATAATGTATAATTTGGAACTCACTTTTTGGTTTCTTGAAAAGGTCGTCGTCCCCTTCACCTTCACCATACCCCTCCCCTCCTCCTTCCTCCTCTCCAAACTCTTCATTCTCCAAGGCAATTTCCGTTTCAGCAATACCAGCGCCACCTTCTGCGTGAGAAACAAAAGTCATATCATCCGGGCTTTTAAAGTCGCCGGTAGGTGACGCTTCTTTGACCCCGCAGAAGTCGTCGAAATCTTGCAATGGATGCGGTTTATTTCTGTGTCTAACGCCGTCGTCACTACTGGCAACACTGTCGAAGATTTTTTTGATATGGTAAAAATGTTCGTAGGCATTTGCAAATCGCTCTTGTCAACTTCGAGCTGACTCACTGCTTTGCAGGAATGATAACTGCGGGGGATTCGTCGAAATGTCGAGGATATCCGAGTCGAATGTGACGGGGTTCCCGGGTTGCGTCGATCGGGTCATGGCCGACTTTCGATCTCCAGAAGTTGACCAAGCTACAAATTGAAAAAAATTGAATGGGATAGGGAATGATCAATGATTCCACAGCATCATCAAACGAATAAACGTTATTACAAAATAATTTTCTACAGTAATAACAGCTAGTATAACATATTCTGCATTGATTTTGTGTGCTTAGGCGAAGTACATTTTCAACAATTGTCACACTTCAAAAAAAGCAAATTTGTGAATAATTGAAAAATATTGAAAATATAAATTCAAATATTTTCGTGCAGAAAATTTATAATTAAAGAAAATATTAAGCTTGTCCTAAACTATTCGAAACTATAAACTTCTGAACTTGTAGCCCATAAGTTTATCAATAAGTGAATGAGAATTGATTTTACATATAAGTGAGTTCAATATTCTGCAGTCAAAAGTCATAAAAATNAACACAGGAAAAAAGAATAACACTGAGTATTGTTGATGATAGAACAAAGCTTTTTTGGAAAATTGATTGAAGCAAAGTGACTGATGAAGTAAGCATTCAAGCCACTTTTTCATGCATCAAACTTTGAGCCCTATATTTGGATATTCAAATAAGTCAATTTATTTTTTAGAGTTTGCCTGCTAATCTTTCAAATTGGTTAGGTTTTAGATTAAATGTTCCAGCTTGTAATAAAATGTTTGCATTGACCCAAAATGATATGAAAACTCACAATAACTCACACTTGAGGCATACAGCCCAAAGAAAAGCCAACCATCCACCTCAGGAACAGGATCCAAACATAGCTGGGTGTAAAGGTGCACAAGACACACTCATAAAACAAGAGCCAAGAAGCTGCCATCAAAGTCTGTGACACAAAAATAAATACAAAACAATTGAAATGGTGGGTTTTGAAGAACAAATGCAACCCTTCAATGACTCACTCTTCTCCTGCCAAACCTGTCAGCCATATACCCCCAGAAGAACCCACTGGAACCCATGCCAGCAAAGAGACTCTGCAATATGCATGAAATACCTTCCCTGATGTTTCATCATTACTCGGTTATTTGCAAATCCAAACAAAAGACACTCACTACTGCCAAAACAGCCTGTTTCCAGGCAGCAATGTGCCAGGCACACTGCAAAGATGGGTTTAGGATGGTCACCATCACTGTCACCATGCCTGCTGCCATCCATCCCAGCCCAGCAACCAGGGTCAACAAAAGCTGGTATGAGCCAAATCCAATGTACTCCAGGGCATCATCAATTGTGAACCCAATTACTGGTGATCGATGTAAATTAGTGGATCTTGTGTAGATATTAACCTTTTCTTTGGGATGAGGGAAGGGGAGAGGCATGGCACTAATTAATAAACCAAAAATAGTGAACCATATATCATATACAGTATATATATGAGGGTTTAAATTACAAGACTGCTGCTGGCACAAAACTACATGAAGAAGTTTATCTCAAATAAAAAAACTTTTATTTGATTATGAGGGATCATTCAAAAATTTTATTTTGGGCAGCACCTTAAAATAGCACTCTAAGGAGCAGTTTCTCAATCTTCTTAATTTCAGACCTGATTTGTGGAGCATGAGTTGACCTTTAATTTAGGCAACCTTGAAATTTAGAATCTCAACCAAAAAAGGTATCAAGATAAGAGAATAACCCCTGCATTGGAAAATGTTTTTCAGGTACAGTACATGAGTCACTGTCACTAAGATGATTTTTTTTCTACATGATGATCATTTGGTACTGTATTAGTTTAATTAGGTATACCTTGCTTGATCATAAAATATGCCACTGAGGCACATGAATTCGTCATACTTTTGTAAACAACTGTTTCTTCTTTTTTTAATTAATATTTCATTGAAAATATAATTCCCTAATATAACTGAATGTTTTCTACATTTATTGTGATTTAACAGAAGTGACAACCATGCTTTTTTTACATACTGTATAATTTGGAACTCACTTTTTGGTTTCTTGAAAAGGTCGTCGTCCCCTTCACCTTCACCATACCCCTCCCCTCCTCCTTCCTCCTCTCCAAACTCTTCATTCTCCAAGGCAATTTCCGTTTCAGCAATACCAGCGCCACCTTCTGCGTGAGAAATGAAAGTCATATCATCCGGGCTTTTAAAGTTGCCGGTAGGTGACGCTTCTTTGACCCCGCAGAAGTCGTCGAAATCTTGCAATGGATGCGGCTTATTTCTGTGTCTAACGCCGTCGTCACTGCTGGCAACACTGTCAAAGAATTTTTTGATATGGTAAACGTTTTCGTAGGCATTTGCAAATCGCTCTTGTCAATTTCGAGCTGACTCACTGCTTTGCAGGAATGATAACTGCGGGAGATTCGTCGAAATGTCGAGGATATCCGAGTCGAATGTGACGGGGTTCCCGGGTTGCGTCGATCGGGTCATGGCCGACTCTCGATCTCCAGAAGTTGACCAAGCTACACATTGAAAAAATAGAATGGGATAGGGAATGATCAATGATTCTACAGCACCATCAAACGAATAAACTTTATTACATTTTAAGTAATTTTCCTCAGTAATGACAGTATAACTCTAACATATTTTGCACTGATTTTGTGTGCTTAAGCGAAGTAAATTTTCAAAAATTTTCACACTTCAAAAAAATAAAATTTGTGAATAATTGAAAAACATTGAAAATATAAATTCAAATATTTTGTTGCAGAAAATTTAGGATCAAAGAAATTATTATGCTTGTCCTAAACTATTCGAAACTATAAACTTCTGAACTTGTAGCCCATAAGTTTATCAATAAGTGAATGAGAATTGATTTTACATATAAGTGAGTTCAATATTCTGCAGTCAAAAGTCATAAAAATTGCTTGTCCTAAACTATTCGAAACTATAAACTTCTGAACTTGTAGCCCATAAGTTTATCAATAAGTGAATGAGAATTGATTTTACATATAAGTGAGTTCAATATTCTGCAGTCAAAAGTCATAAAAATAACATATTTGTTTTCAGCATTATACTTTGGAATTTGGAATTGGCTAATTTTTCCAAAGAAAAGTATGTTTGGAAAAATACTGCTGTATACTTCAGGGAACATATAGTTTTTGGTGATGAATGAATGCTTTTCTTATGCATTTATTATCTGACTGTTTCAGCTTATATAATTCAGTAAAATCAAAATTTGTTTGATGAGAAAGCAAAGGTCTGAAATAAGACATTTGCAATTTTGAATTTTTTTCTATATTATTTTATCAAAAGAAGTTCAAAATGCACATCTTCACAAATTTGTTTTGGGAGTATGAATTACTAATTTTCCCCAAAATAAAATTTCAACACAAGTGTTTTTCAGGACCCTTGATATGAATTCGTTGCAACAAGATTTTACTGTATATATTCATGGACTGAATGAATGAAATTTTTTCTTGAAATCTCCACCAACTCACATATTTGCGCAAAAAAAAAATTGTCCAATAAAATGCAGGATCATTTATGCAGTTCTGTTTTTTGGAACTGCATGAATAAATTAAATTATGTTTTATCTTCAGGGTCTCCCTAATGAAAGCGAAATATATATATATATATATATATATATATATATATATTGTGTATGTTTTTCTTCTCAATAAAAAAATTTAAATAAGCAGGATATGAGAAAGGGCGTCCCTTTCTTTTTTCGCTTAAATTTAATTGCCAAGTCATACCTGCCGCCACTTTTGATCCTGTCAGGGGGGATCAGTAAGGAATCCAGTTCGGGTTGCCCAGGTGGCGGCGGCGGCGATGAGGAAGGATCCGCAGACTCACTGCCGACGCAAAACAGAGTCCGAATCCAGTCCATTATTATGCTGACCTTCAATGAATTTTATTTCTCGGGATTAAAACATCAGCAGCGAGATATAATGGGAGGAATCAGTGACCCGGAATCGAGGTCATGACGTGATATATATATATATTGTAGGATAACTGCGTCAAACCCCCGCGTGGTGGTTATTGGTTATGCGGATGACGCAAATATATACGAGTGTTTTGTTGGAAAAAAGACACTCATCGCTGATGCAGGGAAAAATTATGCGAGCGAAATCAAATTTTCGTATTTTTTAAATTGATAAAGTATTTTTTTTCTAAATCGTGTGAGTGTGACTTCAAATTATTGGTGCAGGTTTATGATGAGATTTTATTTTTTGTGAGTTATTTAAGACGAGGGTCGTCCCAGTTGGACGCGACCTCTGATATTTTTAGAGAGAATGTGATTGTAAAGAAAAAAAAATCATGAAATAGCCCGGGATGTTCTGAGATTCTTGAATTTTTTTCCGGATTTTTAAAACCATTTTTTAATATTCTGCATGATGACAAGTGGAAAGTTTCCATTGACAGCCAGAATTCTCCACCATCAGGGTGATGAAAAAATCTGGGACACAATAAAAATCTCAACCACACTAACATTTTTCTTTTGATTAAATCAGTACTGAATCGGGTACTACAAGATTAATAGACCCTAAAAAAAGCGTAAAAATTTTCGTAAAAGCAATTTACTGCATGATGATAAGTGAAAATTTTATAGTCACAGCCAGAATTCTCCGCCCGTGTCACAGGGTGCTAAAAATTGGTCTGACCAATTTTTAGTCCCTGCGTATTTTTAGAGTTGGCATGATTGTAAAACAAAATTTAATCATGACATAGCTCATGATGTTGTGAGGTTCTGGGATTTTTTTCAGATTTTGTAAGAAGTTTTTTCATTTATTGCGTGATGATAAGTGAAAATTTTTCAGTTACAGCCAGAGTTCTGGTTTGTGAGGGAAAATTTTAGACCCCGTGTGTTTTTCAGGTTGGTGTTATTGTAAAAAGTAATACAATCATTACATAGTTCATAATTTTCTGAGGTTCTAGGATTTTTTTCATTTTTTTGAAAACTTTTTTTTTAATTTTTTGGATTGATGATGAATGAAAACCCATGTCACACAGGGTGCTATAAAAGTTTTGTCAGGACAGATATAAAAAAATGTTATTGCTCAACTCGTCATTTTTTT